CCAGTTATTGTTGTCAATCTGTTACTGAATCTAACTTGTAGATTAAATTTTATCATAAATATATATGATAAGAAAAAAAATGTAGTGTGGGGTGTGTGTGTGTGTATATATATATATATATATATATATATTCTGTATTATCTGTAGTTTTAAATGTCCACTGGGGTTATTGAAAGGTTTCCTCCTGAGATAGGGAGGGACTACTTTAAAGGGATTTAGAAAAGGCAGAAGAACTAGAGATCAAATTGCCAACATCTGCTCCATCAACGAAAAAGCAAGAGAGTTCCAGAAAACCATCTAATTCTCCTCTATTGACTATGCCAAAGCCTTTGACTGTGTGTATCACAATAAACTATGGAAAATTCTGAAAGAGATGGGAATACCAGACCACCTGACCTGCCTCCTGGGAAATCTGTATGAAGGTCAGGAAGCAACAGTTAGAACCGGACATGAAACAGCAGACTGGTTCCAAATAGGGAAATGAGTATGTCAAGACTGTGTATTGTCACCCTGCTTATTTAACTTATATGCAGAGTACCTCATGAGAAACACTGGGTTGGATGAAGCACAAGCTGGAATCAAGATTGCTGGGAGAAATATCAATAACCTCAGATATGCAGATGATACCACTCTTACCGCAGAAAGCGAAAAGAAACTAAAAAGCCTCTTGATGAAAGTAAAAGAGGAGAGTGAAAAAGGTGGCTTAAAACTCAACCTTCAGAAAACTAAGATCATGGCATCTGATCCCATCACTTAATGGCAAATAGATGGGCAAACAGTGGAAGCAGTGACAGACTTTATTTTGGGGGGCTCCAAAATCACTGCAGATGTTGACTGCAGCCATGAAATTAAAAGATGCTTGCTCCTTGGAAGAAAAGTTATGACCAACCTACACAGCATATTAAAGAGCAGAGACATTACTTTGCCAACAAAGGTCCATCTGGTCAAAGCTATTGTTTTTCCAGTAGTCATATATGGATGTGAGAATTGGACTATGAAGAAAGTTGAGTGTCGAAGAATTGATGTTTTTGAACTGTGGTGTAGGAGGAGACTCTCAGGAGATCCAACCAGTTCATCCTAAAGGAAATCAGTCCTGAATATTCATTGGAAGGACTAATGCTGAAGCTGAAACTCCAGTACTTTGGCCACCTGATGCGAAGAACTGACTCACTGGAAAAGACCCTGATGCTGGGAAAGACTGAAGGCGGGAGGAGAAGGGGATGACAGAGGATGAGATGGTTGGATGGCATCACCGACTCAATGGACATGAGTTTGAGTAAACTCCATGAGGTGGTGATGGACAGGGCGGCCTGGCATGCTGTAGTCCATGGGGTCACAAAAGAGTTGGACACGACTGAGCAGCTGAACTCTGAACTGAGCTTCAAAGAGATTTGTATTTCTTCAGGGTAGAGTGGTCCAGGAAGGAAAATATAAATTAAGAGGACTCTTCTATTGTCTGTGATAGCTGATCTGGAATAGTTATCATAGCACAGCTGTTACTGAACGCCTGACTACCAGTTGTCACTCTGTGCTTTGTGACTCTCCCCTAAGGACTTCATGGTGACGAGCACTTCCATCCGTCGTTTAACCTCATCTTCTCACTGTCTTATAAGAGAGCTATAATGCCTTTCCTAAGTATATGGCAAAGCAAGAATAGTTAAGTTACTGACCCAAGTTCACACAGCTCCTGAGTAGCAGAGGTGATACTCAAATCCAAAATTGAAATCCCTTTAAAACCAAAGGCTTTGAGTCTAGAGTTAGTCCTCTGGCTCCTAAGGCTCAGAAGGAAAAGGCCCTTGTGGTCAAAACCACTGGTGAAAGGTTAATTACAAACTATTGGTATGTAAACTATTTATATTGATGACAGACTGCTTTTGTTTCCAGAAAGTGGGTATGGGCAAGGGGCCTCTCTTCGTATGCTAACTAGCTGTCCACAAGCTGCTGAAGCACTAAGGAAGCCAGCTCCCTTTGTGTCTAGCCATACCATGGCAAGGTTTGCTCTGCTTTTGATCCCAAGTTGTGCTGCAGTGAGTTATTTAACATATGTTTCCTTACACCCCTGTTACTGAGCACATATGCTTTGGCCCACGATCACAAATGTGGGCCCAGGTTGAAAGGACACAGGCATCTTTTTTTGGTTGTTGTTCGTGTTCCTCAGAGAATGGGGATATCTATTTCAGATGGCCCCTTGGCAATAGCGGGAGGGAATTTGCTGTTTGATGATACTTGATGCATGTGTCTTGTTTCACAGAAGAATATTGAGGACCAAATGGAGAGAAAGTGGCTGCTCTGGGTCTGGCTGCTGCCTTTCACATCCATCTGGTTCTGACATGAATCTTGCTCAATGAGACTGAGATGATAGTGCAGTGTCTAGCAAATCTTACCAATTGAAGAGAATTACATTGAGGCTGTAATTAATTTTTCAGCTCAATTACTTGTTTCTCTTGATAGCCTTAATGTTTTCTTTTCCTGATTTCAAAGAGCTTTGGTAATTTTACAGTTAAACCCAGCCTAACTTGTGATGCATCTACCTGTAGGAGATTTCTGGATGTATGTATTATTTTCCAACAATGCTTAACACAAGACAAATATTTTTGGATGAGAGAAGGAGAGAGATCAGTGTCACACTGTGCTAAAAGTGTGATGTGTACTTTTCTGTCTGGCCAACCAATTTCCCATTGAGTCCACCCCTGTTAGAGGATTATTTGTAGCTGAGGCAGTTTGTTGACTATACTGAGAGTAGGTGGCCTTGAAGCCATTGCTTTCCTGAAATCCATGTTTCTGCCTTATGATTTCATTCTTATGCTCTAACCTGTACATTATGGAAAATGTGAGAGGCAGATCCACAGTTGTGATTACATTTAACTTCATTAAGTTTATTCTCTGTCTCTTTAAACATAGTTTTCAGAAGTTTGGGAGGAGAACATGGAATCCTAATCTGACTATAGCAGTGATTGTTTCTAGTGATTCTTCAGTGTAAGGAGGAAGATGGGAAGGTTATTTTGGAAATATTTGAATCTAATACTGATATCCTGATTTTTGCTTTTATTACAAGTTGTTACAAGGACCTGAAAGGTCCTCGAGAATCTTGTTCAGAAAATATCCCTTTCCTCTGCCTTTCATTCCTTTTTCCTTCATACATTCATTTAGTGAACATTAAACTGTGAGGAAACAAGAGTGAATAAGTTCACTTTCTTGAATATGGACTGTTGAACAGGAGGAGAGATAAAGGAACACTTAATAATAGTCCAGTGTGGCAAATGTCATCACATGCCATATCATAGGAGGAAATACAAAGGAGGCATAGAGAAGGGAGTTGTTTCTGCTTATGAGTCTTGGGAGATGGTTATAGAAAATGGACTTTGTAGTATCAATAGGAGTTTTCCAGGCAAAGAAAGGAGGAAGGATCTCATGAAAAGAGCTAATATCATGAGCAAAGGCATGTTGGCATAAATGTGCCTGGTGTTTTCATGGACAGTTGATAATGGAGGGCATCTAATATTTAAATACATCGAATGAATGGTAGATGATGGCAGGTGAGGTTAGAGTAAGTAGATTGGGATATATTGTGAAGAATGTGAGTGTTGCAAACCTGTGGTAATCCTCAGGAACACCCATATCTCACTTAGAACTCTTTTCTATTACCATAGTTAGAATCTGAAATTAGTCCTGATTTAATCAGAAACGAGAATTTATTGGCTTATCTAATGGAAAAAGTCTGAAGATACTGCTGCCTTCAGAAATGGCTGGATCCAGGTACCCAGAAGTTGTTATCATGAATCTGTACCTCAGCTCTGTTCTTTGCTTTGTTGGTTGAATTCATAGGCTCGTCTCTGGTGGGAATGATATTGTTCCTCACAGCTGTAGACTCCCATCCTTGCAGCTTAGCAATCTCCCAGAAAAGTGAGTTTCTTTTTCTTAATGGTTGCAATCATAAGTTAGTCCTGAGATTGAATCCAGTCGCATTAACTTGGATCATATGACCACTGCTGAACACTTTGGCTAGAGAATGGACCACGCTGATAGCTAGGTCAGGGTCACTCACCGGATTGTAGGAAAATAGGGAATAGAGACTAGATAGAACAAAACAGTATGTTCTCAATGCAAATTCTACTCCATAAATTAAAAGGATTGTCTTCTTTGAAAAGACTGTGAAATCCTTTTGGATGCCTTTTTACCTTCCTTACTGTTGTAAGGAGGCCAGCCAGAAGGCATGTTATCTTTTTGGTGCACTGGGACAACCCTGAGGGATGGGATGGGGAGAGAGGTGGGAGGGGGGTTCAGGATGGGGGACACGTGTACACCCATGGCTGATTCTTGTGAATGTATGGCAAAACACACTACAATGTTATAATTAGCCTCCAATTAAAATAAATAATTTCCAAAACAAAAATCTCTAGGAAAGATAAAATGTAGCAACATTTTCATACCTTTCACTTTAAAAAATCATATTTCATTAGCAATCATTTTCCCCCCATTACTATTATCTAGTATAAGGTTCCTGAAAACCTCCTGTGTGGAAAGTACTAGAAGCTAGGAACCTGTAGTGTGCCAGGAGTTATTACACAAAGATGAATGTAACTTCACAGAAGTTACAGCTTGTTAGGAGAGAGAAGATTAGAACAAAAAGAATAAAATAATAAGTAGTGAAGTGTGAGTCTATATAAAAAACTAAATCAAAATTTATAAGGAAAAACATATATATAATACAGTCCATGTCAGCCGCCATTCAATACTGTGGGTAAAATCTCCAGAGTGAGCAGAAATTGAAGCATGAATCTTTTTCATTTGTTTTCAGTTTTCACACCCTTATGGTGTGAACATCTCACCAAGTAGGTATGAATCTAGTGCTTTTCTTTATTTTTTTAAATTAAACATGGTCCTCAGAGGGATGGGATGGGGAGGGTGGTAGGAGGAGGCCTCAGGATGGGGAACACATGACACCCATTCATGTCAGTGTATGGCAGAGCCATTACAATATTGTAAAATAATTAGCCTCCAGTTAAATAAAACAAGTAAATAAATAAACGTGGTCCTTGAATCCAAGCCAGCTTGCTCAGCTGCTGTTTAACCGAAGCAGCAGCCACGAAGGGTGATTTTGAATGTAAGCTGTCAAGAAAAAAATATTGAGGTGTCATAATTAAGAAAGAGATGACCTAACTGATCTCTATTTTAAGGAATGTTAATTTTCATTTTGCAAGTACAGCCCTTTGCTGTTTTTCTTTGAATCATCCCTCGTAGTCAAATGCATAAAATAGCTTTCAGTTGAATGAAATGTATGTGCATGTCACTGATAGTTTCATTTTATTAAAAGAGAAACAATATTTGGGTTACTTTCTGGATTCAAAACATCACTTTGTTCATTTTTCTGGTGTGACACATACCTGTATACTCATAGAAATACACGTGAGGTCACCTTCTTATGGATCCTATTTCAGTGTTCCCTGCCGTTTTCCTTTGAAGATGAACTTTACTCCTAGAGACTGGTGGGATCCATCTCCACAGCTTCCTTCCTCCTCTCCCGTTTGCCATCTCTGGCACATGACATCAGAAACTTATGTCAGAGCTACAAGAGATGAGCCAGCTCATCTAGTTCACCTGCTTTTTTTTTTTTTTTTTAACAAGAGAGAGAGGAGAGTGAGGTTGTTAAGTTTCCTCAAAGTTAACAGTGATCTTCCCTTTGAAGACTTATTGATGCACCAGGCTTATAGGAAAAGGGAAAATTGTTTTAATGGCCTGGCCTTAGAAATATCTGCTATCATCAGTTTTCCTTTTCATCTTTCCGTTCCTTTTCACAGCCACAAATCAGTAAAATCTCTTGGGGAACAAAAACAGCCCCAAGAAGGAGCTGACCTGGGCCAACATCTCCTACCAGCCGTTTTGGATTTTGCCAGGGTTATTTTTGCTCTTGGCAGTCTAATTCTTCCCTAATTGCAGGGCCATATGGTGCCTTGTCCCCCATGTGGAGAATTGGCACTTCCCCTTCAGTCTCTGTCCTTCCTGCTGCACAGATTACCTGCCATAGTGAAGGGGTTGAGCAGACTCATCCTGCAGAGATTTTGCACCTTCTACACCTTAAGAACCAGAGCTGGATGCTTGTCTTGATGCTCTGGGTTGGAGACCAGGGATGCAAAAAGCTGTACAATAGATAGTAAGATGAGGTTGAGTTTCAGAGGCAGTCAGACCTGGATTCCAGTTCTGGCTCACTCTCGCTGTCATTATCGTCATGCTCACTGATGTCATAGTGCTCCTTTATGCCAGGAGCTGTCATCTCATTTCCTGATCTCATTTATTTGTCACCTCAGCTCTTGTGGAACTGAGGCTTGGAATGGTTACTGAGGAACTTGTCCACATCACATGGCTCAGGCCAGTTTCAGACTCTGGTCTTTCTTTTTCCTAATCCCACACTCCTAACCAATAGTCCTTTCTAACTCTAAAATAGTATCTAGTATTGTGTTTTTATACTGTATTCTTTGTCATAATGTAATCTGGAAGTGGGACCATTAGTGGTCATTTTTTGAAAAAATATCCCAAATTAACATTTACACAAGTGATAAAAGCTTTCACAGGCAATCTTAGATAGTAGTGGAAAATCTGAGATTGGATGGATGTAGTAAGTGAGATGATTTTATAGTACTTTGTAGACTGAATTTTCAAGGCTTCCTCCTTGCATGAATTAAATCAAGAAACCATCTTAACCATGAAGATAATTCCTTACACACATGCGCAGAAAATGTTTTGAGGTGGGTGATCTGTTTGGAATTGCCTCTTGTGAGAATATTTGGTCTCATTAAAAGCACTTTATAAAATCCTATTTGTTACCGTTCTCAAGGGGGTAATCAAAGTCTTTGAATTCTGGAGAGTGATTTTGAAGAGAGGACGGAGCAATGACAGAACTTTTCAATAACTGAGTGTTTTGTGACATTTTTAAAGCTATCTTTTGGAAGATATCCATGTTTTGTGATAGTCAGAACACTACAGAAGTGATTCCAATGTTCTCCAAAATTAGATCCAAAAATGAAAATAATGGGTAATGTCTAAGCTCCTAACTATACACTGATCAAAAGTTACTGTCAACTTACCATTTACTTCCTGAATATTTAACGGTGCTCCTCGAGATGAGGATAAAAGTCTTGTCACACCATGAGGTCCCTGGGGACAGTGACTGTGTCAGTCATCTTTGTTTCTCCATTGTCTCCACCCTGTAGGTGCTCAATTACTGTCTATTTTGCATTAAATCTACTAATAATGAGATGAGTTATTAACTAGCACCTGTCCTTATAATCCTTCTAGTAACTCTGTGCTGTAGGCGCTATTTATTCTTATTTTACAGATGACAATACTGAAGTAAGGGAAGGTCAAGTCGTTTGTCCAAGGTCATTTGACTGGAAACTGGAGGAGCCAGGATGATGCCTGGTTGCTTCTCCCTTCCATTAGGTGCACTGTGGTTCTTTTATTGAGATGGCTGAGCAATTTAGAGCTAGAGAACAAACCTATACTAGTTCAGTTTGGGCCAGGTTAGTTTTAGTAATCACTAATGACTTAAAAATCATTAGTGACTTTTATTCTGAAAATAGTTTGACTTACATAAAGTTGCAAATATAGTACAGAGAGTTTCTGTGTTTCCTTCCCCCAGCTTCCGCCAATAATTTCTTAAGCATGCACTATATTCTGAGATGCTTCAGCGACCTGAGTGAAGATTTCACATAGATTTTTGGATAATAGGCAAATCTGCAGCTCACACTGCAGCTATAAATTTAAAATCCATCAATATGTAGATGTAGAACCATGGGTCTGGATTGAAACAGAGTTAATGTTCCCAGAGATTTTGGTGTTTCCTAGGAGACTTTAGGCTTCCCAGGTAGCTCCGAGTGGTGAAGAATCTGCCTGTTAGTGCAGAAGACTCAGGAAACTTGAGTTTGATCCCTGAGTCAGGGAAGGTCCACTGGAGGAAGAAATGACAACCCACGCCAGTATTCTTGCCTGGATAATCCCATGGACACAGGAGCCTGACGGGCTACAGTCCATGGGGTTGCAAAGAGTTGGGCATGATTGAGCAACTGAGCTCACATGTGGGAGACTTTAGTGTAAGAGGAGAGTTTTGGCTTAGACTTGGAACCTACTTAATTAATGGTTAGAGGCACACTTTATGTGAATTATGTCATTCACTTCCCTTAGCAACTCGAAGACATGCAGATTATTTTCCTTGTTTCTTAGACAGGCAAATGGAAGCTTACAGGAACTGTAGACAGCAACATGGCCAATAGAGATTCCAGCAGTGATCTGTCTCCAAACTTATATTTTTAACTGCTGTGCCATACCATTTGGAGGAGTTTTGTGATAGATGAGAGAAATCACGGGCAGCCTTAGCACTTGCCTAATTAAATAAAAAGGGTGATTTGGTAATAGGTATTCTGAAAGTGAAAATCAGAGTAGTCCTCTGAGCACTGAAGGCTGCCCTTTGTTTTAACCTTGAATATTGATTATAGGGTCAGTTTTCCTTCAGATGCTCACTTTATCTTTGCTCTACACAAGGTACTGCTTTATTCATTCAGTTCAGTTCAGTCGCTCAGTCGTGTCCGACTCTTTGTGAGCCCATGGGCTGCAGCACACCAGGCCTCCCTGTCCATCACCAGCTCCTGGGGTTTACTCAAATTCATGTCCATTGAGTCGGTGATGCCATCCAACCATCTCATCCTCTGTCGTCCCCTTCTCTTCCTGCCTTCAGTCTTTCCCAGCATCAGGGTCTTTTCCAATGAGTCAGTTCTGTGCATCTGGTGGCCAGAGTATTGGAGTTTCAGCTTCAGCATCAGTCCTTCCAGTGAATATTCAGGACTGATCTCCTTTAGGATGGACTGGTTGGATCTCCTTGCAGTCCAAGGGACTCTCAAGAGTCTTCTTCAACACCACAGTTCAAAAGCATCAATTCTTCGGCACTCAGCTTTGTTTATAGTTCAACTCTCACGTTCATACATAGCATTCATTCATTAGCAAACATTAATGGAACAACTAGTACATGCTAGGAACTCTCCTAGATATAAGGGTAATACATAAGCAGGGGGCGTGGAAAGGAATAAAAATTGTTTCAGGAGATTACAATATAAAAGTGAGAGTTGGTCAAAATCAGCTAATCATGGAGAAGGGAACAGGAAAGGTCTTAACAGAACAAGTATAACAAAAGATTACTACAGAAGCTGTGTGCTATGTGTATGTACATATTTAGTGTAACTGCATACTAATTATATCTATGTATATATAATAGATGTGTATATTTGTGTATATATATTATATTATGTGTGTGTGTTTCATATATATGATATATTTAACATATTAAAAACCCATTCTACTCCTAGGTGTAGACTCAATATAATTGAAAACAGATGCTCAAACAAAAACTTGTACAGAAATGTTCATGGCAGCTTGCTATTCACAATGGCTAAAAGGTAGAAACAACCCAGATATCCATCAACTCTAGATAGATGAAGAAAATGTGGTGTGTGCACACAACAGAATATTATTCAGGAGTGAAAAGAAATGAAGTGCTGACATATGCTTCAATATAAGTGAACCTTGAAAACATTATGCTCAGTGCAGGAAACCAGGCAGAAAAGGCCTCATTTTGTACAGTTTCGTTTATATGTGAAGAACCAACTCACTGTAAAAGACCCTGTTGCTGGGAAAGATGAAAGGCAGGAGGAGAAGGGGACAACAGAGGATAAAATGGTTGGATGGCATCACTGACTCAATGGACATGAGTTTGAGCAAATTCGGGGAAATAGTGAAGAACAGGGAAGCCTGTCATGCTGCAGTCCATGGAGTCATAAAGAGTCTGACATGGCTAGTCAACTAAACAACAATAAATTTATGTGAAATGCCTAGAACAGTCAAGCCCATAGCAGTTACTGGGAGGTTGGGTAGAGGGGAATAGGAGTAAATGCTTAATGGGTATGGAATTTCCATTTGGGGTAACAAATGTTTTGAAATCAGATTACGATGATGGTTGCACAGCATTGTGAATGTACTAAATGCACTGAATTTATACAGTGTAAAATGATTTGAATGGTGAATTGTATGTCTTTTCTATTTTACCTCTATTAAAAATAAGTATTCAGAACTTTCCACTTTTAAAATGCTTTCTTTTTAGACTCTGTGCAAAATGTTTAACTAGGTTATCAAGTTTAAATAGCTGTTTGTTGGAGGGTGGGGTGGATGTAATTTCTCCGTGTTACAGATTCAGAAATAGAGGTGTAGGTGTTCTGTAACCTGTCCAGTGTTTCACAGAGAAGTGTGGTCTCTGTGAGTGCTGGGCTCCTTAGATGTTCCACTCCATTGGGCCAGGCACCCCCTCTTCTTGTTCATCCACGGTTATCTCCGGCCCTGGCCCCTGACCCACCATGGCAAATGTATTCAGTCTCGTCAAGAAATGGACATAGGTCTTTAGCTACATAAAGCATCTCCATGTTTGATGACAAGTGCACCACTTTTGTGTGTGTGGGGGGATCATTCCTGAGAAAACAGATGAATTTTGCACCATTAGATGAATCTCTATTGATTGACATGGAATAAAAGTGAAGTGCAAATATGGTATTTCTGATAGGTTTTAAAAGTCTTGAGTTTGAAGTCACACTTTTCAGGGTGTCTGAATTCTTCCTGATGTAAATGATAGAAGTGGAACAAGAAGGACTTAATAAGTAATTGAGAATTAGTTTATTGTCCTCTTAAAGTCTTGATATTCTTTTCAGTCAACCAAAAAAGGCAGTCTATAAAATTAACTTTAGATAAAGCTCAGTATTCTACACTTCTTGTGAACTTGCCAGTTGGTACTTATAATCTCTCTGAAATGTAATTAACTTTGAGAACAGTATTGGAAATATGTATATGTAAGATGATGCTGAGTAGCATCCCCAGCTAGCCAGCTGTGTAAATGCTAGTTCTGCTGGCTGCAACTTGGCCTCCTTGGACGTAGACTGCTGGAATGACCAAGGGATGCTTACTTTCACTCTGCAGGTTTAGCCTAAAAGCAATGATTTAGAATGGCTGTTTGAGACATCAAGAAAATACCAGAGGAAGAGAAAATGTGTGACTGTTAGCCTTCCTGAAATGTAACGACCCTTATCAGTGGGTTAAGCCTGCATTCTTGCCTTTGTGCATGTGTTTCAGACCTGGAAATAAGGACTGAATATCCTTTAA